AGAGAACTCAAGACTTCAACACGAACAAGTAAACTAATGGCTGTAGACAAAATCAAATATGTTTACCCTAGTACTATGCCTGAGTGACTAGATGATAATTGCCACTTAATTGTCATACTGGTGAGGGTTTAGACTCAGTGCTTCTCCCAGTGCATATCATCTAAGAATATATCAGATACAGAGCAATACTTTGTGTCTCTAGACCTCTGGAATATGTTGGAATATAACATCTTAACTTCTCTGCTTATAATAAATATATAGTGAAATATAATGTTTTGTAGATGTGTAAAGTTATTTTATAGGTATCTAGTGATATATGTTTACAAATGTGTTGCATATAATATACAAAGAGAAGAGCTTACTATACACCTACGTATAATAAGGATTTATTTTTGATATAGTAAAATATCTCTTCAAAATCAGCAATTTAAATATATAAGAAGTTTATTGTATTTAGTAACAATCTTGAAGAGAGAGACCAAACAAGATTTTTGGGAGGTGACATAGAAGCATGGATCATCCAAGTTCTTGGTTTATTAATCTTTTGCACATAGTTTTTTTAAGTTCAGAACCAAGATGGCTGAAGCTGTAGCTATTATATTCAGCCTAACCAATTGGTCAGAGAAACAGACTCATAATATTATCCCTTTGTCTTTTAAAGAAATTTCTTAGAAAATACACACACACACACACACACACACACACACACTTTTCTCCTTACAATTCATTTGCCAACTCTCAGCTTCATCTGTGGGTGGTAAGATGACCAGCCAGCACTGAGGTTTTTAGTAAGGAAGAATGGATATTGAAAAGCAACTGTAAGGGAGGTAGGAATTAAGCATTAAACAAATTTCTAAATATGTGGGCCACAATTATGAAAATGAAAGTCCATAAATGAAGAAATTATCACATAATGTTTCTATAATTCACATTTGCTAATTCATATTTTCCCATTACATTCTAACTACTAGCACTGGGGTCAACAAACTCATTAGAAATGATTAAACAACAAAATAGCCTATGGAAAAAAATAAGGTTACTTTTATAGGGGCAATTTGCTTTTCAATAGGACAAATATAATTTAGTAGTAACTTTTTGGGATATAACTTGCTATGTGTAGTCATGAAACATTTGAAACTACACAAATAAAATGGCACTGTTCTTCAAATACAAAAGAAAAAAAATTGCTTAATTATACTATTGGAAATAACTAAGTTTGTTCATTTTTGTGACCTTTCCAAGTGTAAATTTCCTCACTAGCAATTCTTTTAGCTACAGAATTTGGAAAACAGACATTATACCAGAATATTTCCCCCCAAAGTCTTGACTAGTTTCCAAGTCAATGAAGAATGGCATCATTACCGACATGAGAGGGTTGACCTTCTATCAGTGGAGCCCAGATTTGCTCTTTCTTCTACAGCCTATCATCCAAATTCCAATAATGCACATTTTTAGTATAGCTAAGTCAAGTTGTGGTCAAGGGCTTAGATAGAGCTAAATATTTTTATTTTTCTTTATTAAAACTATGCTCTAAAACACATATATCCCAAATGAATAGTCAGGAGTTGGAGCTCTTTCAGAAAAAAAATTTATGGAATGCCAAAGAGATCTAATATTTTACTCACAGTATCTTAAATGGCATCATGTAAAATACAGCAATAGTAACAAAATAAACTATTTAAATGATAACACTAAAGAATTTGTAAAGTACATAACAATATAGAAATATTGTTGGGATGTAATACAACTGACAACTCATGTTTTCAATTATTTGAATGATGTGAGGAACTGCTTACTACATGTTTCATAATGTTTGTTTATTTTTTTGATTATGAAAATTACATATAGAATATTTGGAAGATACAAAAAGAACAGAAGAAAATTAACACCCATAATTCCATCACTCAGAAATTGCTGTGATAGAGAAATAGATGTATAACCAACTAGAAATTTACATGTCTCTCATGTAGCATTTAGCAGGCAGAGCAGGTTTTCTAAGGTACTCAGATGCTTTTAAGGAACTATGCTTTGGATTTTAAAAGGCTTAGGTGTTAAAATCTTGATCCCTAGGGTGGCATTATTGGGAGATGGTGGAAACTTTCAGAGGGAGGATCTAGGAGGAGGTCTTCAGATCATTGTGGACATGGCCTTAAGGGGATGTGGGACCCCAACCCCATTCTCTTAGCCTCTTTTTCTCCCTGGCTATGTGGTGAGAAGTTTTATCCCACCACATGCACCCCTGTCAGGTTGTGCTGCCTCCTCACAGGCCTCAAACCAACAGGGACAACTGACCATAGACTGGAAACTCCACCACTGTTACTGAAAGAAAGCTTTTAATAACTTCTCAAATATTTGTAATAGTAATAGAAATCTGACTAACACATCATGTTCTTAACACAATTTTTATTTGAAAATCTAGGCCAAGATTATGCATATATATAAAAAATACACATACATGTAAAACAGAGTTTTTACAGTTCATATATTTATGCTTTATTTCATATGTGCTAATATTAATAAGTATGTGAGCATCATTTTCAGAGAAATAATTAATGAATAATTATTAGTACATTAAGACTAATAACAAAATCGCCTTCCAAGGAAATAGTACTAATTTATATTTCCAAGAGAAGTGAGTTACTTGGCATAGTATTGAACAAGAGAATATTGTACAATAAGCCAAATGAAAAAATGAAATGGGTTTATAATTTACATATAAGAATACATACTCACCATGAGTAACAATAAAAGGAAACACATGAAAATATTAAAAATAATTATGTCAGTGGTAAGATTATAGGTTAAAAAAATATTTTTATGCTTTTTTTAAAGTTTTCTAAATTCATCATATGTTACTTTTGTTTTAATTTTTTTTTGGGGGGGGTACCAGGAATTAAACTCTGGGGCACTCGACCACTGAGCCACATCACCAGCCCTATTTTGTATTTTATTTAGAGATAGGGTCTCACTAAGTTGCTGAGTCTCTTGCTTTTGCTGAGGCTGGCTTTGAACTCGTGATCCTCCTGTCTCAGCCTCCAGAACGTCTGGGATTACAAGTGTGCACCACTGTGCCCAGTTTATGTGTTACTTTTATAAGAAGATGAAAACTAGTAATTTAAGAAGAACCTATTGTAACTTAACATTAGATGTGATATTTCATTTTTGATGACTTCTACCTTATTTTTCAGTTTACACTTAACTAATGATTTAATTCATATAACATCAGTTACAGTAAAATCTAGAAAACCTACTAATAACTCATAATATTTCTACATACTAAGATGGCCAAATCAGTATCTCAAAAGAGGGTCATTTTATGAGTACATTTTATTGATCAGAAGTATAGTAAATTAATTTTTGAAAACTTTTCACAAATAATTTATGTACTAAAAACATCATTGTTTTTATTGTGTCTTCTCTATGTTCTAGATTTCAATGACTGATAATTATAATTATTATCATCACAGTCGTGAGGTCCCTGACATGCACCAGAAATTTTTTTAAAAATTGACATGAAATTCAGTCCAAAGACGGGCAATTAGGAAGAAGTTTTCAAAAATGAATATATAAAAAGTGCAATTGCTTTTGCATTTATCACAAGTGACATTGTCATTGTCATCATTAATCTGTCTCTGAACATTATAAGTACTTTATTATAGTTAATGATGCATTTCTCATTCAGCTCCACTCTGCCTCTTTCTTTTTTCAGTATTAAGTCAACTCCTTCTAAAACTTAATTCCAAATAGTAAATATCTGCATTTTCTTAATTATCTATACCTGATCCTAAATTCTATTTAACATTAAATCAGTTATAGAGCATGCACATATACTACACCTTTGATAAACCAAAAATAAAAAATAAATGTGTGATTAAAGTAGTAATTTATAACTTATCTTTCTTCATTCTCTCGTTTGGTGTGCATATAACTGTCTCTCTATTCATTACTAGGAACATGGACATTATTTTCTCATTATGGGCAATTCTTTACCCTTTTTTTTTTTTTTTTTTTTTTTTTTTTTTTACAATCAATGATGAGTTATATCCTCTCTGATGAATATGGAGAGCTTTGAGTAGATGACTAAAACAATGTCACTCTTTAAAATACTAAATTCTCCTAGATGATTCTAAGGGAACATTTAAAATAAAACTATAATTTCTTGCAAGCTATTTTTGCAATTATATGAGGTACACACTGGTATATAATAAAAAGCACATGTGCAAAGTATACAGTAGGTTTTCATACAAAAATACACCTGTGAAGCTATTACCACCATCAAAATAATGAATATGTTCATCACCTCCAAATGTTCCTCAGTCCCTTCCTGTCCATTTGTCTCCAGTCAATGATCTGCCTTTTTCTTTGATCAACATGCATTTTAAAAATTCTTTTTGTTTTTTTCCCCATATGCATTTCTATAATTTTATATACATGGAAACCTATCATCTATACACTTTCTGTCTGGCTCCTTTCACTGAGCATAATTATTTTGAAATGCACACAGAGTAGCATATATCAATAGCTGCTTATTTTTCTAGTTAAGTTGTAGTCTGCTGTACGGATATACCACAATTTATTGATTCAGTCAATGGTTGATACAACTGGATCATTACAAATAAAGTACTATTGACCTTCATATACAAGCCTTTCAATGAACATACTTTCATTTCTTTTGAATAAATGCCTAGAATTGGAATAGCTGGATCATACAGTAGGTGTACATTTAACTTCAATATGACACTCCACGAAAGGCATGATGCATAAAATAAAAATTAAAAGTTGATGCATATAGCTTCATTAAAACTTAAATTTTCTCCTCTTCAATAGAAAGTAAAAAGAGAAGTTACAGACTGGAAGAAAGTACTTTCAAATAATAGTTGTTTCAGAACTGCATGAAGAAACCTCAAAGTAAGTTTTTAAAAAACTTCCAATTAAAAACAAAAAAAGCCGACAGAACTTTGGGGCAGACACTTCACCGAAGAAGAGATACAGATGTCAAATGAGCACCATATCAACAGCTATTTATTAGTGAAATGAAGCTAAAACACCAGTGAGATAGACCACCACTACACTTGCTATGGTTTGGATGTGAGGTGTCCCCCAAAAGCTTACATGTGAGGTAACACAAGAAGGTTTGAAGCAGAAATGGTTGGGTTATTGCTTTAACATAATCAGTGAATTGATCGCTGATGTGATTAACTGAGTGGGGAGGTGGGGAGTGGCTGGAAGACATGGTTCACTGGGGGCGTGGCTTTGGGGTATATTTTGTATCTGTATCAAAAAGTCTCTTGGCTTCCTTATTACCATTGAACTATTTCCTTTTGCCACAATCCTTCTGCTATGATGTTCCACTTCACCTCCAGCCCAAAGGAATGGAGCCTGCAGTCTATGGATTAAGACCTCTGAAATCATAAACTTCTAATAAATTTTTCCTCTTCTATTGTTTTGATCAGGTCCTTTAGTCACAGCAGTGAAGAGAGCTGACTAAAACAACACCTTATTAGGGCACTGCAACAACAACAAAAGCATAATCATGTGGTTAGTGTATCAGCAAGGATGCATACGTAGAGCCTCAGCTACTGGCAGGAATATAAATTTTCTAACATTCTGAATAGAAGTATGACAAATTCTATCAAAAGCATTTTATAACACATTTAACTTCAAGTTTTTAAAAATCCAAATACAATTGAACTACATAGGCATTAACTACTTTTAAAGAGGATACTGCATTTCTACAAACAAGAAGTTTAAATACAATCACATTAATATGGGTGAAGTTCATCCTAAAGCTGTGACCTTTTAGACCTCCTTAGATGAGGCATAGATTTCTTCTTAAATTTCTACTCTTATCAGCATAAATTTTAGCTCATGTGACTATTTACTTATCTCGACTCATAAGACCTAGGCAAAGTTCACAATAAAGGGTAACATTGGCAAAACAAATGTTTGCATGTGCCCAATGACCTTGATCAAGAAAGATCTTTCATCTGAATTCTACAATTTAAGATATCTATTTCTAATAAAAACTGATTTCTTATTCTTAAACATGTCGCATTATTTTATTTTGAATAAGTAACAAAATTTCAGACAAAATTCTAGTTCTACTGTCAATCCAAACCACATCACTTTAAATTTTAAAAGTCCTCTTTTTCCTTAAATATCACCTGAGTGACAGGTCCTATGATAGCCTTTTGATACAAAATGTGTAAGATGGTGTTTCTAACCTTGAGCTGCTCAAAGTTGGCAGGTTTATGATGTTGTTTGCTCTTGGGATGATTTACTTAAGCAGAGCCTTTCGTTAAGAAACTTTATGTCTCCTAAAGCTTGATTGTGGCAACTGAGCTGCCAAGCGCTTGTCACCAGTTATTACCAAAGAGCTTTAAAGGATACATAAGGATTCTTCTTCTCAGAGGAACACGTGGCTCTTCAAGTCAACTTTCTGTCGCTCCTACTTTTAGTCTTTTCATGTGATTCTCTGAAACAGGACAGGAAAACCCAACTAAAATTTTCCAAGATATTTTCCCTTCCCCTTTTTCTTCCCAATGTAAGATGAGTCCAGTTTTGCCAAACCCACCAATAACCTTCTAGCTGTCCAGGGAGTCTTCATACTTTTTGGATGGCTCTGACACATTTCCTAGCCCCACCTCCTCCTTCTCTCTTCTCAAAACTTTGACTTTCATGATGTAGCTCTATTCTTGTCCTCCTTCAAACCCCCTGCCCGTTGTCACTTTACAGGCTCCTCCATCGGATCCTCACTTCCTGCCCTCTCTGACATGCCAGACTTTCCCAGATTTACATTCTTGCACCTCTCTTTTCCTCATACACTCTTCCCCAACCATTTGATCCATATTCATGTTTGTAACTACAGTTTTTAAGTTAATGCTTTTTGAATCTAAATCCTATAGCTACTATTTATGGAATGCCTACTATGTGCCCATTATGCTGGGGACTTTGCATAAATTATCTCATTTAATTCTCAACACTCTAGCTTATTTTACAATCCATATGTCCAGGAAATAAGCTTATGCCAATATATCTCGGTACACAGCAAAACCTTTTTCACTTAAACTAAGGTTTTAAGGAAATCTTAAACTTCACACTTCAAAATCCACTTTGACAATTATTAAAGATAGAATTTTTAAGCAAAGTGAAATCACTTAAGAGGACTCAAGTAACTCACCCTTATTATGAAATGCATGCAAACTCTTCTTTCTTAAAGATAATTTAAATACCCAAGTCTGTTTTTAATTCTTTTTTTATCTGATAGAAGGGGTAAAAAATCTTGCAGTACATAGAGCCACTAGACTCAAAGGACTGTGGTAACCTTCAAAATGAGTCTAAAACATTCAGCTTTTTATAATTTATTTTCTCTGGAAAATTCCATGTTCACAGATCACTTTGTGAAAAATTATTGCTTAGACTAGCTTCTCAAGTGAGTGACGTCAAAAATTTTAAAACTTGTCAGCTGACATCTGTTTCATAAGAAACTGCCAGCTTCCCTGAAATCACTTGACTACACAGATCCAGTGATTTTTCTCTTCATTCCCATTGCCACTACCAAGGTTCAGTTTCCCATCTTCTCTCACCTGATCAATGGCTATAAACTCTCTTACTGATTCTAATTTCACCCTGCTGCCACACTTCTTCCACATTTTGCCTGTGAGATTTCTTTTTTAAATACATGGTTGACCACTTAGAACAAAACAGAATTAGTTCCTCATGCCACATCTCTCTGCCACTGGTCTAGTTTTACAGCATAATTCTTCAGACCAATAGCTTCCCTTTCTTTGATGGATGTCTTAGAAATGCCTACACAATACAGTATTCATAATCTTATTTTTTTTCATAATCTTATTTTTATTATATTTTCCAATTTGGCTTATTTGTGCATTTTAAAAACCAATGGAGAAAATGATTTAAAAAGGAAATTAAAATACACACATCTGTAAATTGATCTGTCATCTAGAGTTGATCAGCAGTAGAGAATATCAGGAGTCTCACATTCCAATCTTGTGTCTCCTAAAATCACCTTCATTATTACCCCTCTCTCTCATTAAACTTAATCAGCTCACAGAGACAAAAACAAACTCATATGTCAATTGTACATTAATAGGGAGAAAAAATTCCAGTTAACTCACTTTATGTATGCAATGTGTACACAATAAATTTTTATTCCAAAAATTATTTGCTAAGGACGTGAAAAGGAAATTTAGCATAAAAAGATTATTCATTAAAATTAATAGAGTTAGGAAATAATTCCCAACTCAATAAATAAGTCAAAAAACATTGGTATCAATCCCCAAAAGGGATATATTGTTAAGTATTTTTAACAAAATATAAGCAAAAATTCCTTTTATACCTAAAAGGGACAATACATCATGACCATGTGGAATTTATCCCAGGAACCCAAGTTGGGCTTATATATAAAAATTAATTAATGTAGCTCACCCTACTTAACATAAAAACAAAAATATCACATGATCCTCTCAATAAATCCAGAAAAAAGCAATTAATGGAATTGAATGCCTACATTTTTGTAATTTACAGAAAACTAAACTAAATTTAGAATTGCCTTCATCTAATAAAGCATAACTACAAAAATGCCTATTGCTAACATTATAGTTAAGATGACGTAATGAACAGAAGCACCTTCCCCTAAAACCAGAAATAAATGAAAGATATCCACTGTAGCATCATTACTATCACCACCTCTTCTCCTTTCTCTCTCCTCCTCCATTTATTGCGTGTGTGTGTGTGTGTGTGTGTGTGTGTGTGTGTGTGTGTGTGAGAGAGAGAGAGAGAGAGAGAGAGAGAGAGAGAGAGAGAAACAAAGATAAAGAGAGTTAGTTACTGTCATTGAACTCAGCTCACACATGCTAGGAAAGTGCTCTATCATTGAGCTACATCTGTGGCCCTTTTTATTTTTTATTTTTTTATCTTCAGATGGGGTCTCATTAAATTGCTCAAGCTGACCTCTAACTTGAGCTCCTCCTGCCTCATCCTCCTGATTCACTGAGATTATAGTCCTTCACCACCATACTAACAATCATCACTGTTGTTCAATATTTTAACAACTGTATTAACCAATGCATTAAAGCAAAGCAAATAATGGGCATAATATATTTGAAAGAATAAAAAAAAATATTTGGTTTGCAGACATTATGATTATTTTTATTCAAAGTCCTAAATAATCCGTAAAACAAAAGGCTACTAAATCTAGTAAGTTACCAAGGATTCAAATTACAAGGTAAATCCAAAAACTCAACTATATTTCTATATACAAGCAACAAATATTTCAAAAATAAGGTTTTAAAAATATATATTTGAAAATAAGCTTTTAAAAATATATATATTTTCAATAGCACACTATAAAATATCAAGAAATAAACATAATAAAAATACAAAAGACAATCCACATTTAACATGACAAAACATTGCTGATAGGAACTGAACCAGAATCAACAGATGGAGAGTTCTCATGCTAATGGATGAAAATATAATATTGTTAATAAATTAGCTCTTACAGACTGATCTACGATTTCATTGTGATACCAACTGAAATTCCACAACTCTTTCTTTTCTGGATTTAATAAATGCTAAGATGCTTATGGAAATATAAAAAGAACTAAAATAGCTAAAATAATTTTGTAAATAAAAAAGAACAAAATTGGATGATTTACATGATTAAAAATGAATTACAAAACCATAGTAATAAAGATAGGGTACTACTAAAGTCAAACAAATTAATCCATCTGAATAGTTCAGAATTAAGTCACGAGATTTTTCACAAACTGTCAATAAAATTTATTTGCTACTGGAGAAGGTTTTCATCAAATTATTCTGTATTAACTAAATTACAAATAGGAAATAACAAAACTTGACAATCCTACAAGCCATTCACAGAACTTAAGTCAAGTGGTCACTTCAGTAGCACATACACTAAAATTGGAACGATACAAATATTAGCATGGCCCCTGCACAAGGATGACATGTAAATTTGTGAAGCATTCCATATTTTAAAAAAGAAAAGAAAGAAATTAAGTCAAAAGAATTTCTAATAAGCATAAAAACTACAATTATAAAGCTCCTAAAAGAAAACATCAAATAACATAGAAAATAGCTCTCTGGAGCTAGGTACAGTTTACATAGAAGGGAAAAGTCACTAACCATTAAACTGGTTTTTATGACAGTCAAAACTTCAGCTTATCAAAACACACCAGTGAGAAAATGAACAATGTAGAAAATAATTGCACTTTGTGTAAGAAAAAGAAACAGATAAGCAAAGGACTAATATTCAGAATACAAAAGGAACTTCTACAATCAACATTTCCAAAATATTCAAATCAACACCTCACAAAATATGTAATAACTACAGATTCTCTAAATTTAGTCACTGAAGAAAAGTAAATTAAAATCACAATGATATGTCAACACACACCCACTACAATGGCAACTTTTGAAAATGTTAAAACCAAACATTAAAGAAGATGTAAATCAAATGGACCTGTCATACATTACAAGTAGAAATGCAAATTAATACAAGTAATTTGGAAGACTATTCAATATTCTCTTATGAATTTAAATGCTGATGTTACTTTATGATTTAGCAATTTCAGATATGGGTGTCTACACAAAAGAAATGTATTTCCAGAAATATTTATAAGAGTTTGTAAATGGCTATTCTGTTAATAAGAGCAAAACTTAGTCTTTTGTTTTTTAAATTACTCAGTCTATAGCATTCTGTAATACAATATGGAATAAGACCAGAATATTCTAACAGAATAATAACTGGTATTTTTATGTAATAAATTATTATTTAGCAATAAAAAACTGACATTCAAAATGAATAAATCTCAAAGATTTTGATCAAAAGAAGGAAGACAAGTGCATACTCTATGATGGCATTTAAATGAAGATTATAAACTTACAAAATTAATATATGGCAATAGAAATCCAAGTATTAACTATTTCTAGGGAGCAGGGCTTGACTGAAAAAGAAAAAGAAAGCCACACAGAGTGGTGCACACCTGAAATTTCAGCTACTTGGGAGGCTGCAACAGGAAGATCAGTTCACACGTTTGAGGTCTTCAGCAACTTAGAGAGACACTGTCTCAAAATGAAAAATAAAGAGGAATGGAGATATAGCTTGTGGTAAAGCATCCCTAGTTTTAATCCCTAGTACCAAAACTAAATAAATGTAAGAGTATGAGAGAATTTTGTAGGGTAAGGACTACATCCTATATACTGAAAGGAGTATGGATTTTATGCAGTGTACATTTATCCAACCTCATTGAAGTGGACACTGATAATTTGTATGTTTTACTAGAAATAATTATATCTCCACAACTATATTGAGATATAGTCCCTCTACTAACAGTTTTACAAAAATTCATATTTGACAACATATTCTGATATGACTATAGGAAAAAATGGCAAATTTACATGATTTGATGAGATGTAAATTGACATAACAGC